GTGTTAGTTGTTTTTTTTAAATAAAAAAGAAGATAAATAGATAAAGTAGAATTAAAATAGAATAGAAAGTGCTAGAGTTAGAGGGTCAAATAAAGATGGAACAGATGTTTTTAGTCGTTTAAAAATATTGTAAAAATAAAAATATAATATATATAAATATAATATAATATAAAATTATTTTTTATAAAAATATTATAAATATAAATAAATTATTTATTATTTATATGTATAGTTCTTTATTATTTAGATTTATTAACTCATTTCACTTATCCTACCTGTAAACAAGGTTCTGCAAAGTACGAAATTATTTTATAGAGCACACAGTTTTTAAAATCATGTTAGCATGAAGTAATGTTATTTTAGTATTAGGTTTTATTTTTATATTTTCAGATTTCTTTTTCATTTGAGTTACAGTTTTAGTAAGGTTTTGTGTTTGTCTGCAGGTTTGGGATGTTTGAATTCCTCAGTAATAAGATGAGGGATGAGTCTGGGAAGCTGGACAGCACGCAGGGGTTGATCTGCGGTCTGGGCGCAGGAGTGGCCGAGGCTATAGTCGTGGTGTGTCCTATGGAGACTGTAAAGGTGTGCGACGTGATATGCTGATGCTTTTAGCATGCATTGATAGTTAGAGGCCTAGTGCTTAAGATTACGCTGAGAGTGAGCAGTGCAACATTTAACTTTAGTCACATTGGTCACTTGCTGTCTAGACGCACTATAAGAAATTCCACACTAATGCAAAAAGTGTTTACCTGTGCTTTACCAGTTATGTACAAGAATAAACTGATGCATTAACATACACTCATTAGGCATATAGCTTACATTGCAGCTTTTAATGCATTCTACACATATCTTTGAAATACATGTGAAGTATAACCATTATGAAGTGATTTCTGGTTGAATTAACACTGATATAAATATAATATGTTTTGGTTTAATTTCAGGTCAAATTCATCCACGATCAGACCTCAGCGAACCCAAAGTACCGAGGATTTTTCCACGGCGTGAGGGAAATAGTCAGAACACAAGGTACATGTGGATGGTGGGTTGTTTAGTCTGCAGCGCCACCGCCTGGAGACCAAACACACTTACAACTGATACATCTGAACAGTGAGAAATTACACGCTTATTTTAGTTAACTCGCAATAAAATTAAAACCATAAAAATCATTCGTTCGAATAAAATAAACATTGATTGAAATAAAACATTTTATTCCAGCCAGTTGTCAAGGCAACATTTCGTATTTTAGTTTATTTTAACTTGATGTTCTAAAATCACTAAAACTGAAACATTAATAAAATGATATAGACATATGTCTAAAACTACTCAAAATGACAAAAACGCAACAAAATTACATGAAATTAAAGTGAAAAAATAAAAACTAATAGTAGTCAGTGATACTAAAATAACACTGATTATAAGCTGAAATTTAAATGTATAAATGTCACTTTATAAAAACACATTCTTGGCTGCTTTCTACATTTCATTTTCAGACTATTTCATAATAGTTATTATAGTATATATTTATTATTATAGCTATGTTTACTATGAAACCACCCCAGAAATGTTTTACAAAATTTTGTAGTGCAAACAGTTTTTGTTAGCATGAAGCAATGTTATTTTAGTATTATTTATAAATTATAGTATTGTTTTTTGATTAGGTTTTATTTTTATATTTTCAGTTTTATTTTTAAATTCAGTCAGCGTTTTCAGTCAACAGTCAACGTGCTTTTGTCATTTCTATGTAGCTTTATTTTTATTTCAGTTTTAGTTTTGGTCATTTTAATACTTAAACTTAAACTTGTTTATTTCACTTAGCCACCAAGGCAACATTTCTAATTTCTTAAAGTGTTTTTTAAAGTTGAAGTTTTTTATCTAATATTTATATTTTATTTATTTATAGCTTTTATTAAAATTACTGAAAATATTAATCATTGGTTTTAGTTTTTTTTTTTGTTTTTTAGTTAACTTTTTCAAATGTGCATTTATTAAATTCCCATCATAAGAGTAGAATGAAACCTTTATTTAGAGTTGATAAAACTCTCGTCTGTTTTCACAGGACTCAAAGGAACATATCAGGGACTGACCGCAACAGTACTGAAGCAGGGCTCAAATTTACTATGAAACCACCCCAGAAATGTTTTACAAAATTTTGTAGTGCAAACAGTTTTTGTTAGCATGAAGCAATGTTATTTTAGTATTATTTATAAATTATAGTATTGTTTTTTGATTAGGTTTTATTTTTATATTTTCAGTTTTATTTTTAAATTCAGTCAGCGTTTTCAGTCAACAGTCAACGTGCTTTTGTCATTTCTATGTAGCTTTATTTTTATTTCAGTTTTAGTTTTGGTCATTTTAATACTTAAACTTAAACTTGTTTATTTCACTTAGCCACCAAGGCAACATTTCTAATTTCTTAAAGTGTTTTTTAAAGTTGAAGTTTTTTATCTAATATTTATATTTTATTTATTTATAGCTTTTATTAAAATTACTGAAAATATTAATCATTGGTTTTAGTTTTTTTTTTAGTTTTTTAGTTAACTTTTTCAAATGTGCATTTATTAAATTCCCATCATAAGAGTAGAATGAAACCTTTATTTAGAGTTGATAAAACTCTCGTCTGTTTTCACAGGACTCAAAGGAACATATCAGGGACTGACCGCAACAGTACTGAAGCAGGGCTCAAACCAGGCCATCCGATTCTACGTAATGACCGCTCTCAGAAACTGGTACAAAGGTGTGAAACACCATCTATAATTAGCATTCTATAAGTACTTTGTGTGCTGATCAAACAGTGTGGCTACAATGACCACTGTGTTCACTCTAAAACTAGGTGATAACCCCCAGAAGACTATTAACCCCCTCGTGACCGGAGTGTTTGGAGCCGTTGCTGGAGCCGCAAGCGTGTTTGGAAATACACCACTGGATGTGATCAAAACGAGAATGCAGGTGTGTAATAAGCAGAAAGCAAGACTGTAGTAAAACATCGACAGGACAGTTGAATATTGTTTTGTATGATGTTTTCAGGGATTGGAAGCTCACAAATATAAGAGCACAGTTGACTGCGCCATCAAAATCATGAAACATGAAGGACCGGCTGCGTAAGTAAACATGACACCAGCACGAAGTACCTGATGGAGATATTTATGGGTGAATCTCATGAAAATATTTGCAGTTATTATTTACCCCAAAATTAAAAGAGTTAACAGACCCTTGTTGTATTTTCTTGTAATTTATTAAAAGAAGGTACACCGCCATCTTGTGCCGACTAAACTGACTTGAACGCATCTGACGTCGTAATTACGACTTGTCAACTCGTAAGTACGAATGTCCCAGGAGGACTTGAACGCAGCATAAGACCATTGTAAATTTTCGACATTATTTTAAATGATAACATTTTCTCATTTTATTCTAATTTAAGTTTTAGTAATTTTGTTTATTTTAGTTTTCATTTTTCTAGCTTAAATGTATTTTTATTTCAGTTTTAGTATTAGTCATTTTAGAACTTCAACTTCAGCTTATATCAGTTAGTTAGAAGTTTTTAATTTTTTAAGTTTTTCAGTTTAAACTTCATAATAATTATTTTTTATTTTATTTCAATTACAGAATTTTTTAGTTTTAAATAAGGACCAGCTTTGTAAGCAAGCATGTAATAAAAATGATGAAAGCACATAATAAAATTGCTCAAATTTAAACTAAAATCAAAATGAAATTTTTTTGTCATTAAAATAAGTCATGTTGTTAATAAAAAACAGTATTTCTAAGACCATTACAAATTTTTGACAAAAGGTTTTATGACCATTTTTATTCACATTTTATTTTAGTTGACGTTATAGTAATTTTATGTGCTTTTATCATTTTTATTAGTTCTAAAATGATTAATTGACTAAAATGACTAATTCTAAAATGAGTAAAATGGAAATAAAATATGAGTTAGAAATATAATTTCTATTAATTTCTATAAATCAATTTTATTTATTTCAGTTTAACTCATTTTAGAACTTCAATTTCAACCTGGTTAGTTTTTAACATTTCTTAACGGTTTCCTAAAAACATCTGGGCTCACAATTTACCCCCAAATCAAAAGAACAAATGATGAAATTCTATTTTTCATAAAGACATACACATTTTTGACATTGTTTTCAGCACATACTCTCACCAAATTCTCATTACTGTAATGCATAATGAAAGGTTTCCTGTGATTCATCCTTATGTATTCACTTAAACGTGCTCGCTTCGTTTTCTCTCTCCTGTAGATTCTACAAAGGCACCGTGCCCAGGTTAGGCCGGGTCTGTATGGACGTGGCTATAGTGTTCATAATCTACGAGGAAGTGGTTAAAGTTCTCAACAAGGTGTGGAAGACGGATTAATGGAGGCGTGACGCTGATGGGCGGAGTCTGGCCTTCATGACATCATACCGGTGTGACCACAGAGAGCCTTTACTCAGCGGCCAAAATATCTGCCAACGGCAGACGACACAGAAAGTCACTGGAATGTGCTTAATTACCATCATTTAATCAACAGAGGGAGAGATTTTCCCAACTAATGTGAGAAAGACACCAAATACTTGAAAACTAGTTTTTACCCCAAAGACCAATTTAAATATTAGACTTTTTTTTTAAATGTTTTTTTATGGAAAATAACATCTTTAGGGAGACTCACTCAAATTTTATTTAATTTTTTTAAACATTAGGTATCATAGAAAATGTAATTGTAGTTTTAACAATATTATTTTCTAAAGTGCAGTTTACCAGCAAATATTATACGTTTCCATTGTATGTATTTTAATTTAGTTTTCCTCACATGTGATTATATACTAAGTGCTGAGAGCCTAATCTGAACACCGTGCAACTTAAGAAACAGAATATGTATTTTAGAAAAATCTTAACCTGTAGTCTAAAATGCATAAATTAACCTCATCTAAAAAAAAAAAAATCACCAAAGCTTTTAATTATGAGATACAAATGTGTTTTATACCCAATACAGTACTTGTCAAACACTTGGAAACATTACGATTTCTAAACGTTTTTAATCTAGTCTCTTCTGCTCACCAAGGCTGCATTTCTAAGCTCAAAAATACAGGGAAAACAGTAATATTGTGAAATAGTATTACAATTTAAACAGCAGATCAGCATATTAGAATGATATCTGAAGGATCATGTGACACTGAAGACTTGAGTAATGATGCTGGAAATTCAGCGCTGCATCACAGAAATAAATTACATTTGAACATATATTCACATAGAAAATGGTTATTTGAAATTATAATAATATTTCACAACATTACTGTGTTTCTGAGCATATAAATGCAGCCTTGGTGAGCAGAAGAGACTTCATTCAAAACTTCTAAAAATCATAACTTTTGACAAGTATTAGTGGTACATATGATACATGCACTTTGACATTTGGTAGTAATCCAGGTTTAGTGATTATTTTAAGTGCCTATATTAATATACATCATATAATCGGTATTTTTTGTAATTCTACTTGTTTACATTAAATCATTTCCTGCTGTAACAGTATAGCATAAGAACAGTGACATATACAATAACCCTCTGAAATCAACACCACAACACATGCAACCACTTTTAAAAACTGCACAGTGTTGTTTCACCCAAGCGAGCATCACCGAAGAGCCAGATCACTCAAATACAATGTTTACTTCTTTAACATGCGTTGAATGTTGTTAATGATGTGAAACCAGAGCCTCTTAAAAGCTGATCGCGGATCAGTCCATGCCTTAAAGACGATTCAGCGTGCTTGTTTTTCTCTTCCTCTTCTCCTTCTGCTCTCCTACCTCAAGATGCTCTCACAAATCTGTAAAAACTGACAACAGAGGTGAAATATTCAGCATATTCAATCTAGGATTATACTGCAGACTGACGGGTAACAGACATTGTATAAAGTGGATGTTCACTTTTCAGCATTGTTTTCAAAACTCTTGCTAGTTTGTCACAGCAGACCAGAGAACTCGAGTGGCTTAACTTGTAGTATATGCAACTGTTTTAGAGTTTAGAAATACTAAATAAATGTATTTTGCCTTCACCGCACGTCATGTGGGAGAGTAACAGTCTTGAATGTACAGTCTTGAAGAGGTTTGACTGCCTGTGGTTCTTGACTCTTAAAAGACATGTTTTAGATATACTGTAATGCCATATGTCTAAACGATACCGTGTTGCATTCAAATCTTTATCTAGTGCTTATTTGACTTTGTAAACAGTAAGGCATAGGTGACCCATGTTGGGCCAGGAAACAGTAGTGGAAATAAACAGGATTTTATTGTTGTGTTTCTGTGAAAGTTATTAGAATGCATTCCAAATGTGTGACCTAAAATATGCATTAATTGTCATGCTAATGAAAAATAATGTGCCTTCAGTTCATGTTCTAATTCAGATTAAATTATGCTGACTGAATAAATGAGTCTGTTTTATTTATTCATAGATAGATAGATAGATAGAACGACAGATAGATAGATAGATAGATAGATGATAGATAGATATGTAAGAAAAAAGACAGACAGACAGATAGATAGATAGATAGATAGACGTAAATAAAATAAAAACTAAGTATAGACAAACAGGATAAATGATTCAAGTCAATTCAAGTTTATTTGAATTTGCAAAGCTGTCTTATCCAAATTTAATAGGAGAAAATTATTGGTCATCCAATCTTTTACATTTTTAATTGTAAAAGACTGGTAAATTGGTAGATTCACAGGTAAAATTACATAGTTAAAAATAAGATCAAATATATCCAAAAAACAAACCAACGAACACGTTTAAAGTGAGATTAAGAATAAATAAAAGAAAAAAAGAATTTAAATATATAAAAATAATTAGATAAATTAATAATAATATTTAGTTTCATATTTAAATAGATTTTTTTAAAATTAAAAAATAAATATTTAAAAGATTGTGTTTTCATGCCTATTTTCAGGTTGAAATTATTAAAAGAAATGGCTTTATATATTTAAAGTGAGCTGACAATAGGACCATTCATATACGTATTGAAAAATAAAATAATTAGATTATTTATTTTATTATTTAATTAGAATAATTTAAGAGAAAGAAAGAAGTATACACAGATACAAATGTGTTGCCAGGTTTTAAAAAAGTAATACATTTACACCTTGAGAGGACATATAGGATGAATATAGACTAGAGATACATTTTTGACTGCTTTAGGATTAACAGAGCTTTAGATAGTGTGTGTGTGTGTGTGTGTATATATATATATATATATATATATATATCCATATACTTGTCTAGATCAACTTTGAATGAAAAAAAGAATTATAGGGCCATTTTTTTGTTTTAATTTATTTATTTTTTGTGTAGGCCTATGTGAAATTTAGTAGTCAAACAATTCAAAGAAAAACATATTTAAAACAGAAAGAAAGGTCACTTACAATTACAAAATGAGAACATAAAAAAAATCTGACCACAATTTCTCTGTGTGGGTACATTGCAAAACTGTTTTGTCATTATTAGTTTTTTTTTTAAAATATTTAATTTGATTTCAGTTAACATTTAATTTATTTCAATTTATGAAAAACATTGTAACCAGTCTTACTGTGGGTGAATTATATTTCTCTATAATTGAGGAGTACTGTTGTATATTAAAGTATAATTTCAGCAGAGAAACAAAAAAGCGAACGCGTAAATGCTGCAGCACATATACGGTGACCTTGTAAACTGTGCACTCGGGCTTTCCGTAGTCGCAGTTCTCATCTGCTGTCACTTGACGAACATTTCATTTTAAGATGTAGATATTTGTTTGTTTTTAATATTAAATGAATAATGTCTTCGAAAGGGACGTCGCGAGGTTTTTATTTTAATACTGTTCTGTCTCTTGCGCGTTCTCTGGCTGCTCATCGACCCGCTCCTTTTGACAAGGTGAGAGTTTTACTTCCTATTAGCATCTGAAGCTAACAGCTAACACAACCAAAACAAATCAAACTTTAATGAAATATCTGACGTCCTCTCTTATTTATATAACCTTTATTAACATGTATATCCAAATGTTAAAGACCAGCGATTCAAATCGACTGACATTGCTTTATACAGTCATTGCTTTGCTAGTTTTACGCTTTTTCTCATGAACCCCCCATTTAAGGGTTGAAGAGATATTTACGTTATTAATTAATACCCACGTTTAATCATCAATATAATACGTTGAAACTAGAATTCAATTTAATAATCACTTACATGATTGCTTATTTTAAATGCTTTATTGATCCGTTACACTTAAAATACAGTTATAGGAAATAATCAGTGACAGCATAAAACTATCAATTTAATAATAATAATAATAATACAGAATATTTTTGTTGTGAGTGAAATGTGTACTTTTAGATCATTCAGAACACAAATTAAACCACATTTATACAGTATGTCATATTTGGTCAACTGCTTATTGATTTATAAATGTATTTCAGAGCTGTGTTGGCTGATGTTTTTTTGTGGTCATTTATAGCTCAGAGATGTAAAGTATGCATTAACCCTGACACATCACAGTGCTGTTTTGTTTTTACTGTCTGACAGGACGTGAAAAACCAGGTGTTTCAAGGGCGGATCTCTATAGAAAAGTCATTGTGACTCTGAGAACAAAACATTTTCTGAGCCTTAGTGAATCTTTGCAAAGGTGCTCTCATTTAAAACCAAGTATGCGACACACACACTGGTGTCCTAAAAGTCCGTTTTGCATGTGAGATTCTCTATGTATGCTGGTTTTCTGGGACCTTTTTGGCTACATGACATAGTTTGACCCTTATTGCTTCTGAATTTTCTAATGCAAAGTAACAAGTAGAAAAAAAGAAAAATGCACAAAGATTTTTTTCCCTGACCTTATTTTCTCTGTAAGTTAAGGGTGCACTGTATTGCTGAAAAACACAATAACTACTTAGTCAGATGTCTGTATGCACAAAGACACAGATCCCTAAACAAGGCCATATCTGCAGATGAAAAAAATTTTGTAGAAGCATTTTTTAAATTTGAACGAGCACCTCATGACTACACCACGCTATGTACGAGAAGCTGCAAAAGACACAGGCGCAAGTGGAATGGTGACATTAATTTATAATGGGCGATATATTGCGTCACCAAAAATGATTGAGGTCATGTACATATATTGCGCGATAAGTCGATATATTGATTATTGCGACAGGCCTATGAAGGAATGATTTAAAATGATAATAAATTATAATTCTGAAATGTACATGTTTATCTGAAAACAGGAAAGGCTTGATCAATAGTCTGTTTTAAAGGGAAGTATGTTATAAACTTCCTTACACATTGGTGAACTTCTGTACATAATCTTGCATCATTAAGTTTTTATGATGTGTGTGCACCTGTTGTATTATTGAGTGGTGTCCAGTGTTATTTTAGTATTATTAATATGCTATTATAATTTTTATTCAATTAAATTAAATAATTTTTTGTTTTTATATTTTCAGCTTTCATTTTAGTTTAGCTTTTATTAATTTTATGTGCTTTTGTCTTTATATATATATATATATATATATATATATGATTTAGGTTTTATAATTTTTTTAAATCCAGTTTTATTTTTTATTTATTTCCAGTTAGTAGCTTTTCAGCTCATATTTAAATTTGATTTAATTTTGCCTTTATTTCAATTAACAACATTTTTTAAAAATAATTTTAGTTTTAGTTAACAGTAATATAACTCTAGTGGTGTCATCATGTTCAACTTGGTAGTTTGACGCACAAAATGCATGATTAGTTATTTATACAAATTAAAGACAAGTGGCACTCTGGCTGCCATTTGATGATGAAGATGACATGTTTAAATACATTTGCATATTTGTCTAATATAGGTCCAGAAGCTACAATGCATGTGTCCTGTGGACATCCGTGGTGTTTTCCAGCTGGATGAGCGGAGGAGAGATGCTGTGATCGCCCTCGGCATCTTCCTGGTGGAGTCTGAGCTGCAGGTACTGGTTTTAACACAGTCGCTCTCCTCAGCTTCATTGATTAAAGGAATAATACAGAAACAAAAAATGTTAATGTAGTACTACTACAGTGTAAGTAAGTAAGTAAAATGTATTTATACCTTTCACAGACAAGGAGGAGTCACAAAGTGTTTTACAATAAAAATAATATGTGACCCTGGACCACAAAACCAGTCTTAAAGGAACACTCCACTATTTTTGAAAATAGGCTCATTTTCCAACTCCCCTAGAGTTAAACAGTTGAGTTTTACCGTTTTCGAATCCATTCAGCCGATCTCCGGGTCTGGCGGTAGCACTTTTAGCTGTAGCTTAGCATAGATCATTGAATCTGATTAGACCGTTAGCATCTCGCTCAAAAATGACCAAAGAGTTTCTATATTTTTCCTATTTTTCCTACTTTGCTGCCGTACCATGGGTGCAGCAGGTGCAATGATATTACGCGGCGCCTGAAAATAGTCCCCAGCTCGCACCCTCAGATTCCAGATTTTCAAATAGTTGTATCTCGGTCAAATATTGTCCTATCATAACATGGACAACAACAACCCTTATGACTGGTATTGTGGTCCAGGGTCACATATCAAACTAATTAAGTTTAGTAGTGTTATGTAAATCAAAGTGAATTAATTCATCGTGTTTATGAGCAATAATGGTCTGTAGCCCTGAATCGAATGTTTATTTGCTCCTCCAGCACAAGGACGCTATTGTCCCGTACTTGTTGGGTTTGCTGAAGGGATTACCCAGGGTGCAATGGATCGAGGAGAGCTCAGAGAGAAAAGGACGAGGTATAAAAATATATTTTGGTCTTTTTTTATCACATTTCCTGATTGCATTCTCAGTTGTACCTGATCTTACATGTCTCTCATCTTTGTGGTTTCAGAAACGCTTCCC